GAAGAAACATGACCTCAAAAACGACTGGTGGACTGCAGGGTAAAGATACACAGACAAGAAACGAAAAGATTAGTGCAAGATAACCAGAATTCCTCTGTGTTAATAGAAAGAACTGGGTATTACATGTTCCAACAGACATGCTGATATACTGTAACTATGAAGAGATAAAACCCAGACAGCCTGATGGAATATTATGTGTTTTGGGAATGGAGACACACTGGGAAGAGCTGGCGATTGTTGGGTGTTGGGTTCATCTCCTGAACCCATAAGAGGAGGAGCCCTCCTTCAGTAGTGACCTAATGTGAACCCAGTCAAAATTTAATTAACCTGCTTGTTACACACCCTTTGTGCAACAATATTTCTCTTTTCTGCTCTCTCTTACATTTGTTTGCACTATTTATCTTGTTGTCCATTGTGTCACATTGTACATTGTGTTAAATCTCCTGAACAATGATGGCTTTAGGCATTCGGATACATTTTGATGTTCCCTTTTTTGGGGGGGATCACTAGAAATTGAGACCTGTTTGTTAGTCAGATTAGATACATTTTAGTGGAAGAAAGAGTAGTACTGTGACCTGCATTACCTGTCCCAGTACTCAAAGTATTTTGGCATGACACTACTACCTATTAATATCTCACTGGACGTTGACAAGTATGTTCTGCTGCAGAGAGCTTCTGAAAGCACATGTGAGGAAAGCTGGGTGTGAGTATGAAGTCAGTGATCTGTTATTTTTAAATATGTACTTTCAGTACTTGCATTGCTTGAACATATTATTATTACATGTCTTGTTTTTTAAAATATCCAGATTATGGGAAATATGAAAAAAGTAAAATAATTTATTCATAAATCTCAAGCCATGTGACAAAGTGATTTTGGCTCTGTCTTTGTCATGGTTAAAAGACCTATTTTCAGCAGGTATGGTGTCAGCTGAAAATGTATGATCTTGATTAAGTGTGAGTGTTTGTCCTCATGTATATGATGTCACAGTCAGAACACTTAAATGTGTAATGAGATCCCACACAGCTTCTTCAGCCCTTCAGCATGACTTAATCCACCCATAGAGAATATTTAATAAAATGCTCAACTTTATACCCCACAAATTATCACGCCCAAACCCTGTTTGTAGGTGTGTACCTGTACACCTGCTGCACATGTGACCCCCTGTGGTTTCACTCCCTAACTAATCTTTAGGCAGCATCCAAATACATTATGTAGTTGTTAAGGTACTGATTCTTCCAACAAGTACATCAAGTACCCCCCATATTTTATGGACAATGATACACCGGTCAACAGATTTGAGGATGTAGTTGAGAAGTTTAATAGGTTTTTTGTGAATGTGGGTCCTGGTTTAGCAAGTACCATTTGTACAGACGTCAATACAAATAACAATACAATTGAAAGAAATATGTGTTCTATGTTTCTTAAGCCAATTGTTGAAAAGGAAATTATAGATATAGTGAACAAATGTGGTAATAAATCATCCAGTGATAGTGATGGTATCAGTATGACAATGGTTAAATGGGCAATCGAGGGGATATGCAAACCATTAACCCATGTTTTTAACATGTCGTTTCGACTTGGTCAGTTCCCCAATAATATGAAAATAGCAAAGGTTATTCCATTGTATAAATCTGGGGATAAGCACAACTTCACAAATTATAGACCGGTTTCTCTGTTGTCACAGTTTTCAAAAATCTTGGAAAAACTTTTTAATAACAGATTAGACACATTTATTGATAGACATAAAATCCTCTCTGATTGCCAATATGGTTTTAGGTCGAACCGATCGACATCTCTGGCCATTAC